CCCCCCCCCCCCCCAAACCCACCCACAAAAAAAAAAAACCAGAAAAAAATATAAGAGTTGAACACCAAATAATAAAATTACATGAATGCATCAATGTGAGTTTGAATCATTTTCAAAAAAAATTTGTGGTTTTAAAGTTTTTCTTTTTTCTATTAATCATGGATTGTTTTTAAACTTATTTCTCAATCTATCAATGTTATGAGAAAAAACATACTATGAATGTACTTGAGTTTTTAAGTGTAAAAGCTTATTAGCAGCTATCTTGTGCGATGCACGAGATTTATATTTTGATCTCATTTTATATTCTCCATCTATCATAATATTTTAGGTAATTGAGGAAAGTTAAAAGAAGATAGATATGGTAAAAGTATAGATGACGTAGAGAAAAATTTTATTCTTTTGTCTAATAAAATTAAAATTCTGTAAACAAGAAATAATGTGTAGAAGGCTTCCAAAGATTCTTCCCAACTAATATATATGTTTACTATAATAATATAGATAGATTTTCTTAACACAATTCTCCATAGAAAGTGCAAGTTTAATCATGTTTTATTTTAAATAATGGTAAATTTAAAAATAATTTGATAACGTGGTATACAAATAAAATGAAGTTACAAAACACCGGTAAGTTGATAAAAAAAATAACTGTGTTTATGTTACACGTAGTAATGTACCAAAGAAATCTATGATGAGACGACCATCGGAGCATCGGCCGGTGGGATGATGAAAGAAGGTTTCTCCATAGGGTGGAAAGGCCATGTGACCAAGGTTATCAGGGGCGTCGATGCAGACGAGGTTTCCAGTGTCGGTGATTGAATCACCGAAGCCGAAGAGGGATGTGTAGCATCCGGAGACATAGTTAGTGAATGCTAATAATATGAGGATAGAGTATGAGACTGAATGTACTGCTGAGAGACTGGAAGAAGATAAAGCCATGGATAAGGAGAAAAAGAGTCTCAAGCATCTTTGATATGATTAATGGGAACTCAACCTTCCCTTTTAAGGTCGTGGGGTTCGGGGGGGAGTTCAGGCTATTTGGTGAGTCACGTGGCTCAAATGCAGAACAGAAGCTATACCTGTAGTGTTGTTTTTTCTTAAATAATGCAAATACTGACAGAAAAATGAAAAAAAATAAAATAAAAGAGATAAAATAATGTGAGGTTGATGTGGTTATCTAGATTACTATCTTTGTCAAAGAAAAGAAAGAAAGAAATTTCAACTTGTGCACTATCATTTTCTGTGTATTTTCCAAATGGGCCCACTTTACCATACTCTATCAAGTCATTTCCTCAACCCACTTTCCTGTGGTGCATGGCGAACCTCTGACTTTAAGCTCTTGGATTGACAATGGGTTGGCACACAACCCTCGGTCTAACTTGGAGGGTTAAGAGCAAATTTAGCAATGGTAAGAATTTCAAATATAACTCTAGAATAATTCAAATGATAATAGATACGAGTTGTAAATTTTATGTCTTGAGTTTTAATTTTAACAACCTCATGAGGGATTTGTCCCTCATGATACCCTAATCCCGACATATATGATCAACCTTTGACTGGATCGAAAAAGATATTAGTCAAAGTGTGCATGAGCTGATCTGAATATCCTTGATCATTGAATCAAAAAAAAATTTTCAAATATGTAAGAATACTTGTATATAAGATACTTTGTCTCATCGACTATTGGATTTCTCACTTGTATCTTTAAGTACGATTCTTAGTTTTATACGTGCCGCTAGAAGTTTGATGAAAAAGTATTTCACTTTCTCTTGTGAACTAAGTAATTTTTTTTCATTTTTTGTCAAATAAATGACGGGACGTTTGCGTTTTGAATTGTGTGAAACCAATTCAAGTAGTTTATAGGACCATGTAAGAAATTAAATAATTAATGATGCAAAATAACACAACCTCATAGTTTGAGCGGACAAGGTGTAATTAACCCTTTTTCACATGCATTGGACATTAACCTAACGACAGGTTTTGAACGATGGATGCAATGACCGTTGGATTCAATAGTTAATGAAAATGGCCTTTACACTCAAACGTGGCCATACAAGCCTTGTGGTTCGTGGACGAAAATAAACCATGGCTTCATTAACAGTTACTAGTAAAATGGCCTTTATACTCTATTTTTCTTATTCTTGATCTTGATTTCTCTTTAATTTGTTATTAAACACCCTAATGGCGTCACTGGTGATGTGTAGAACCAATTCATTTGCAGGACTGGCCATCATGAGTTCGAAAAATAGTGACGACAAAAAAATAAAAATAAAATCGTCATTGGAACTCTTTAGTGTCAAAAAAAACATTTATAGTGACAACAATTTTTGTCACTAAAAACCTTAATTGTTATAGTGATGAGAATAGGCGTGTTCAAATTTCCGATTACCCTAATATTCCGACCATATCTAATTCTACCCTACACTACTAATTGGCTACAGCAAAAAATCGGGTAGGTAAATAGAAGAAATTTTGGTATTTCGTAAAAATCGGGTAGAAATGCGAAATGCCCACAAAAATTATGTCTTTCTAACCAACTCTACCCGTATATATATATATATATATGTGTGTGTGTGTGTGTGTGTGTGTGTGTGTGTGTGTGATTTTTAACATTTTTAGTATTATTGTGTCGGTTAATTGGTGTAGGTTAATTCATTGAATTGGTAAAATGATTTAAAAATTAATAATTAAAAAATATTGTGTTCACCCGACTTCCTATCCTATTGTTTGAACAAAATTCGAATAAAAATAGTACACTTGATCGAGTAGGGTAGGATAAGAAAAATCTCTTCTGAAAAGTGTTTGGTAGAAAGATGAAATACTATAATTCTTATGAGTAATGCTCGATAGATTTAAAAATTAAATTTAAAAATTAGACTTGATAATCTCAACTATTGAATAGGTAGTGAGTCACAATAAATATTAAAACTCACAGTGAAATCAATAATTTTAATTTTTAAGTCTATTTTTTAAGTTCATGTAGCATTACTCTAATTCATACCCATAGAGTAAGGTGAACAATTTAAGTGAGAACAAGAAAAGAGTTTAGTATTTTTATCCATTTAGCATTGAAATTTGGGAATTAGACATGTTTGGTCATTGTCTAGCACTTCACCAATAAGGGGTAATAATTTTTAACATGATATGAAAATACAATTCGAAATAGACACGAAATTAGTAGAATAGTGTTGACCATTTCTTGACGCGAACTCATAAATGACACGAACCTGTTAATACGAACAATAAATAGGTCAAATTAGTGTCAAACACAAATACACACAAAATTAAAACGACTAACACGCTTAACTAGTATTAGAGAAATAAAATGTCAAATTTTTTTTATTTTTTATTAAGTATTGACATAATTCTTTTATATAAAACTAAGATATTTTTACTTATTTTTAAATTATATTTATTAAATTAATTTTCAGTTTGTAGAAAAAGTATGAATGTGCTTTCGATTAAGAGATAATAAAATCTTAAAATTAAATTTTAGCATTAAAATTTTAATTTATGGGTTAAATAAATCAACATGAACACGACACAAAAATAAATAAATCAAGTCAACACAAAACAATTAGTTAAATTAGTTATGTTAAATTTGACAAGTGTTCAAAACAAACTCGTAAATGACCGACGGAATAAATTCAAGCTTCTACTCACCAACTAGCGTCTATGTTACGTATATGTNTGTGTGTGTGTGTGTGTGTGTGTGTGTGTGTGATTTTTAACATTTTTAGTATTATTGTGTCGGTTAATTGGTGTAGGTTAATTCATTGAATTGGTAAAATGATTTAAAAATTAATAATTAAAAAATATTGTGTTCACCCGACTTCCTATCCTATTGTTTGAACAAAATTCGAATAAAAATAGTACACTTGATCGAGTAGGGTAGGATAAGAAAAATCTCTTCTGAAAAGTGTTTGGTAGAAAGATGAAATACTATAATTCTTATGAGTAATGCTCGATAGATTTAAAAATTAAATTTAAAAATTAGACTTGATAATCTCAACTATTGAATAGGTAGTGAGTCACAATAAATATTAAAACTCACAGTGAAATCAATAATTTTAATTTTTAAGTCTATTTTTTAAGTTCATGTAGCATTACTCTAATTCATACCCATAGAGTAAGGTGAACAATTTAAGTGAGAACAAGAAAAGAGTTTAGTATTTTTATCCATTTAGCATTGAAATTTGGGAATTAGACATGTTTGGTCATTGTCTAGCACTTCACCAATAAGGGGTAATAATTTTTAACATGATATGAAAATACAATTCGAAATAGACACGAAATTAGTAGAATAGTGTTGACCATTTCTTGACGCGAACTCATAAATGACACGAACCTGTTAATACGAACAATAAATAGGTCAAATTAGTGTCAAACACAAATACACACAAAATTAAAACGACTAACACGCTTAACTAGTATTAGAGAAATAAAATGTCAAATTTTTTTTATTTTTTATTAAGTATTGACATAATTCTTTTATATAAAACTAAGATATTTTTACTTATTTTTAAATTATATTTATTAAATTAATTTTCAGTTTGTAGAAAAAGTATGAATGTGCTTTCGATTAAGAGATAATAAAATCTTAAAATTAAATTTTAGCATTAAAATTTTAATTTATGGGTTAAATAAATCAACATGAACACGACACAAAAATAAATAAATCAAGTCAACACAAAACAATTAGTTAAATTAGTTATGTTAAATTTGACAAGTGTTCAAAACAAACTCGTAAATGACCGACGGAATAAATTCAAGCTTCTACTCACCAACTAGCGTCTATGTTACGTATATGTGGAAATTAGTAATTCTGAGCAAACAGAGCTAACAGGACTTCTAGAATTACTATTTTACCCCTACTCTGATTACATAGTATATATACCATTGGAAAAGTTGTTTAATAAGTAGTAGTTAAGTCTCTCTCTCGCTAGGGGGTAGAGTTTTGTCTCCATTTTTATAGAGTCAGTTTCTTCCTTAGGTCAAACTAATGGAAGTTCTTGTTTTAAGTGTCTTTTTTGGTCTTCTATAGGGGTCAGTTATTAGAATCTTGATACATTCTATCTGGTTCAGTGCGGCTTGGTTTGTTGGAATGGCTCTGCATTTGGGGTGTGTGGTCTACTAGTCGTTATTATGGACGAGGAAATGCAATAGTTGTGGAGTAATTTTACACTTTTGAAGGAGGAGAGTTTTGGAGTTAATATTCTAGATCAGGGAGATAGTGATCTTGGGGGAAAAGGCAAGCTATGTGTTTTTGGTAAAGTCATGTCCGTAAAGCTTTACAATAAGACAGCTTTCAAAACTACAATGAAGAGGGTATGGAATAATATCAAAGTGGAATTTATTGAGGCTGGTGATAATTTGTTCCTTATTCAATTCAATAAAATGTTGGACAAGAATAGAGTCCTTGAAGATGAGTCATGGTCTTTTGATAACCAATTAGTTCTGTTGAAAGATTATGATGGTTCGATTTAGGCATCCAATGTATCATTTAGCGGGTGTCCTTTCTGGTTCCAAATCTATAATTTTTCATTCAATAGAATGAATCAAGAAACTACGAAAATTATAGGCAATAAGATTGGATGGTATTTGAAAACGGATTTGAGAAACGGAGTAGGATGGGGGAGACGTTTGAAAGTTTGGGTAAACATTAATATTGAGAAACCTCTACTTATAGGAATGAATCTTAAAGGGTTAGGAGGTTCAAGTCTAACAGTGTTTTTCAAGTATGAAAGGTTGTCTCATATTTATTAGTGTTGTGGACAGTTTGACCACGGTGAAAGAGAATGTCCACTAAGATTGCATTCATCAAACTTAGTTAAGAAAGGGTTGATGCAGTATGGGGCATGGATGAGGGCTCTAATGGGAAAAGGGTTGAAGAATATAGCAGGCCTAAACGTCGGTGAGGACAAATTCCCGACGGTGGAGAAAGTGAAATTACTCCGGCTAGTGAACAAGATCCACTGGGGAAGAATTTCCAAAATGGGGTAGTGGTGATCGAGCCAAGTTTTATGGGTATGACTAGTTTAATTTCCGGAGATGAAAGAATATCCAATGCAAAGAGTAAAATTAGGGGACAAAACATGGAAGGAGGAATGATAAGGGATTTAATTGAGTCTTCAATTTATAGGCAAAATTCTATAGATATAGAAAGCGTGATATTTGAGGACGATAAGTTTAAGAAAGTTGATGACACAATCCCAATGAAGAAAGGCAGTTTAGTGGCAATAATCGTAGATAATAATCCTAAGGAGATGGAAGGGACTTTTAAAGGGACACGAGTTGTTAATGTGGGCCCTAAGTTGGTGGAAGAAGTGGGTGGGACCGTAGATAAATGGAGTAGTCAGCCTATCTCAACTAGGGATAAGGAGGCTCAGTGGGCTGATGAAGACTTTATGGATATCACCATTTTTTCATTAGCCCAAACCAGATGTCTACCTAAATTGGGGGAGATAGGCGTTGATGAAGGAAATGTTCTCAATCAAAATCCGACGGTTATGAAGAAATGGAGAAGAAAGGAGAAGGGTTTTGCATCATCTGGCCAAACAAAATCTCAAGAGAATCCCAATGGCAAACGGAAGTATGGAGAAGGAAATGAAGATCTTCAAGATTGGATGTAAGTGCAAAGGAAAAAAGCTAAGGTAAGTGATGGTTTAAGGCTTGCAACTTTGGTAGAAATGGAAAATGTAATTGTGGGAACTGGTCTCCAGTCCCACCGATCGTCATGAAAATCCTTAGTCGAAACTGCTGGGGACTCGGGCATCCTCAGACAGTTCAAGTTTTATGTGATTTCGTAAAGAAAGAGCAACCCGATTTTGTCTTTCTTTCGGAGATGAAATGTAATGCTAGAAGGATTGATTTTTTGAAAATGATGTTTGGCTTGTGTGGAGTGGCTGTAGAGTCGCAAGGAAATGATGGTAGTTTAGCGTTGTTTTGGCAGAAAGATATTGATGTGGTGCTACAGAGCTATTCCCGTGGGCACATCGATGTCGTGATTAATGAGAGGGGTGAATAGGGGTCGTGTAGGTTTTCAGAAATTTACAGGGAACCAGAGACATCAAAGCGTAGTGATACTTGGGCATTGTTGGCTCATCTAGGAAATCGAAATGACTTGCCATGGGTATGTGTTGGGGATTTCAACTAAATAGTTTCACAAGATGAAATGAAAGGAAAAGGAAGAAGGGCGGAATGGCAAATGCGAGATTTTTGCCAAGTTTTGGATAGTTGTGCAATGGTGGATTTGGGATGTACGCGTTTCCCCTTTACTTGGTGTAACAATCGGAAGGAGCCATATACTGTGTGAGAAAGACTTGACAGAGTGTGTGCAAATCTGGCATGGATGACAAGATTTCCTAACTCAAAAGTTTCTCACAAATTCTCGAAGGAATCAGATCATTATAAAATATTACTGGATAGTAATATGGAGTTGCCAACTCAAGGGAAGCGTCCTAGAAAAATATTGTTGCATTTTGAAACAACTTGGGTGAAGAGAGAGGGATGTAAGAAGACCATTAAGGAGGCTTGGAATTGTAGTGAACATCTTTCAAGGGTCCAGGGGTTCACAAGGACAATAGAAAATTGTAGAGTGGAGCTACTTAAGTTGAAACAGGTGCATATAGGGCACATTCCATGTAAGATAGAAGTTTTGCAAGGAAAAGTGGCAAGTATATAGGAAAGTGGTTTAACAAAGAGTTCAAGTCAACATGCGCAAGAAGTGGTTACAGAGTTGAATTCTTTGTTGGATATGGAGGAGACTTATTAGCATCAACGATCGAAAATTCAATGGTTGAAGGAAGGGGATAAGAATACAGTTTTTTTCCATGCCAAGGCATCCCAAAGGCAAAGAAGGAACACAATTATCAAGCTCAAAAACGGTGAAGGAGGCTGGTGTGAGAATTCAGATGAAATGGAACAAATTGCGGTATGGTATTTTATGAATCTGTTTACTTCCAATAGACCACAAACCCATGTGCTAGAGGTTGTTTTAAGCAAGGTGGACCGCAAGGTGTCGAAGGGAATGAACTCAAGACTCCTGCAGACTTTCCGATTTGATGAGGTAACTACTGCATTATCTCAAATGTTTCCTACTAAATCCCCTGGACTTGATGGTATGCCCCCACTTTTTTTCCAAAAGTATTGGCATATTGTCGGGGTGGATGTTGCTAATTGTGTCTTGAGTTTTCTCAATGGTGGTCAGTTCCCAGTAAATTTCAACCATACTAATATTGTCCTTATCCCTAAATGCGAAAATGTGGAGTCTTTACATGAGTTTCATCCAATTAGTTTGTGTAATGTTATTTATAAAATTATTTCAAAAATTTTAGCTAATCGTTTAAAGCATATTCTTCCTTCGGTCATTTCTGATTTTCAAAGTGCTTTTCTTCAGAGGCGGTTGATCACCGACAATGTTGTAGTTGCATTTGTAATCAATCACTTTCTAAAGTATAAAAATTGGGGGTAAAAAGGGGCATGTGTCTCTAAAGCTGGATATGAGTAAAGCTTATGATATGGTGGAATGGGTGTTCTTGGAAGAAATGATGCTCACTTTGGGTTTTGATCCTAGATGGGTTACTCTAGTAATGCAATGCGTTCCAACCGTCTCATATTCCATCATGTTGAATAAAGAGCAAAGGGGCTTTTTTCCATCCTAAAAGGGATCTTCGTCAAGGAGTTCCCTTATCACCTTATTTGCTTCTTATTTGTGCAGAAGGTTTGACAGCACTTCTACACAATGTAGAGATGAATGGCCTGATCACAGGGGTCTTGGTGGGGAGGGGAAGTCCACGTATATCCCACCTTTTGTTTGCCGATGACAGCCCATTATTCTTTAATGCATCACATGAGGAGGCTGGAGCTGTTAAGTCAATTCTTGAAACCTACGAAGCTACTTCAGGGCAAAAAATCAACTTGGAAAAGTCTGTAGTGGTTTTTAGCAATAACACTTTGGAGGCGCAAGCAAGTTTAGTCTAGCAAACATTGGGGATAGATCTTGTTCTCCAACATGATAAATACTTGGGACTTCCTACTGTGGTGGGTAGATCTAAAAAAGAGGTATTTAGCAATTTAAAGGAAAGGATGTGGAATAAAATGCAAGGTTGGAGTGAACAACTCTTATCTAGAGCGGGGAAAGAGGTTTTAATTAAGGCGGTGGTGCAATCTATTCCCACATATGCTATGGGGTGTTTCAAACCTCCGGATAATTTTTGTGAGGATTTATAAGCTCTATTGCCCAGGTTTTGGTGGGGACAAAAACAAGGGGAGAAAACAATTCATTGGGTTAGTTGGAGTAGGATGAGTACAAGGAAGGAGAGGGGTAGCATGAGTTTCAGAGATCTCAGGGCTTTCAATCTGGCACTACTAGCGAAACAGGCTTGGAGGTTGAACACTGAGGTTAATTCAGTTATTCACCAAGTATTTAAGGTGAGGTATTTCCCTTTGAAGTCTTTTATTGAGGCAGAGCTGGGCTATAGACCCTCTTATACTTGGAGAAGTATTTTAGAAGCAAGAAAAGTGGTGATAATAGGTTCGAGATGACGAATAGGTGATGGATCCAAAGTTGATATCTGGTCAGATAGGTGGATACTCATCCCTGTAAGTTTCAAGCCAGTTTTCCCTAGAAGGGTTCTACACTATTCGACAAAGGTAGGAGATCTTATTAATGAGCAAACGCGGAGCTGGAATGGGCAGTTGGTGGATGAAATATTTTTGCCTCATGAGGCACTAGTGATTAAAGTATTCCACTTAGCAGAACTACCATGGAGGATCGATTGATTTGGCATTATGACTCAAATGGGAGGTTCTCGGTACATAGTGCATATCATAATATCATGGATGGAAAGTTGGGGCAAGCGGCCCCAAGCAATTCATCTCCTTCTTCCAGTGCTGGACATCTTGATTGGAAGTTTATTTGGAATCAGAAAATACAAAATAAGGCTAAGATCTTTGCTTGGCGGGAGTGTTCCAATGCGTTACCAACAGCAGATAATCTACGACGAAGGAAAGTCTTAGTTAATGGGAATTGTGGGGTGTGTCAGGAAGGTGAGGAGTCATTGATCCACTGCCTAAGGGACTGCTCTTGTGCCAAAGCAGTGTGGCATCTCAGCTATGTTAAGATAGTCGTTCAGTTTTCAGCTTCTGTGTCTGGGCAGTGGTTGGGTGATGCCCATCAAACACTTATACCGTATGATTTCTCAATGGTTCTTATTCAGTGCTGGTTTGTGTTGAGAAATAGAAATACTTATATTTTTTAAAATATGGTTCAAGATCCTGTTGAAGTGCAGTCGAAGGCAGTGGAATATCACAGGTAGTATATGGAGGTAGTAACTCAACCCAATCTTGTTCCAATGCCAAATCCAAATAATGGTTGGTGTCTTCTGAGGGCAGGTACCTTCAAGGTAAATTTCGATGCTGCTGTGTTCAGAGACCTAAATGTCTTAGGCGTGGGAGTGGTTATACGAGATGACCGGGCTTACTTTGTAGGAGCTTTGTCTAAAAGGATGGCCATGAGTTGTGATGTTCGTCAAGCAAAAACGAGTGCAATGAGGATAGCAATCCAATTCGCAAAGCAACTTGAATTGTCATAAGTCATATTAGAAAGGGATTCTATAGACGTTATGCGATCTAGTTTCTGATATTCCTAGATAATTAAATTTTACCGTTGATTCTCCCAAAAAAAAAAAAAAA